TGTGTTGAAGCTCTGCTAGAAACGTAATATCCCTCTTAGAGTACACGAGCAGCGTACATATTGCATAGCAAAAAAATCTCTTGCCCTGGGATTTTGAACACAGTCCGAAACAGAGCTGCCCCACTCAAAGATGGCGGCACACTGCTCAAAGATGGCGGCCAACCGAGAAAAACCAAACCCATTGCCGTCTAGAGGACCCTATAGGACAGGGTAGAACTGCTGCATATGGTTCCCAAGGAACACTGCTGGATTCGAACTGCCAATCTTTTGATTTGCAGCCGTAGCTCTTAACTGCTGCACCACCAGGGCTCCAGTCCTGCCAGTAATCCAGTCTCACACATCAGGCTCATGAAGGGGCTCACTATGCCTCTTCTGAGTCTCCCATTACAGAGCTTCAACTTGTAATTTTTCCTTTTCTGTGTACTGTGCTGATTCTGCCAAATTATAAAACTTCGTGGCTGTTCCTGGTTTGCTTTGTCGGCCATGACTGAACTGGTTTGAACTGCTTGGAATCCCTGCTCCTTCTTTCTTTATTTTGGTCATCTTATCCATTCTGTTGACTTTAAATACCAACTATTCAGCTGGATCTCAAAATCTCCAGTCTAGAAGTCTCAGCTCTAGATCTGCATATCCAACTGCCTTTTCAATATCTCCACTTGGCTGAATAGTAGGTATCTCAAACTTGATGTATCAGGAACCAAATTCCTGAACTTCCCCCTAAATGTGCTCTTCTCATAGTCTTCTCTCCTTCACTCGTATGCTGCACTCCTTCTGGCCTCCCTGTTGTTACTCATACATGGCAAGTATGTTTTTATCTCAGGGTCTTTATCCTAGCTCCTTATCCAAGGTGTTTTTCTTCTGCCAGCACGTTCTTCCCTCATGTATTCATGTGGTTTACTCACTCACTACTTGAGATTTCTGCTAAAATATTACCGCATGTGATATGTCCCCTTATCTAAAATATCACCTTCCCTGAACATACGTATAAAAAAACAAAACAAAACAGAACCTCATCTTTACTCCATACTCCATATTCCTTTTACCTTATGCTTAAAAGTCTCTAATGGCTTCCTATCTGGCTCTGTAAAAGCCAAAATCTTATAATAGTATTGTAATTTTCTCTTTTTTGCCTCCTATATGGTTTTCCTTGCTGTTCCTCAAAAACATTGGGCAAGCTTCTTGCCTCAGCGTCTTTGCACTTAATATTCCCAATGTGTAGAATGCTTTCCCCCCAGATATCTGCATGGTTTTCTCCCTTTTCTTTTTCAAGTTTACTAAAATTTCAGTGAGACCTTTCATAACGGTTCCATGTTAAATCCTCACAACTGGACCAATAAGCAGCATCATGATAAACAGAGAAAATACTGAAGTTGTTAAGGATTTCATTTTATTTTGATCCATAATCGACGCCCACGGAAGCAGCAGTCAAGGAATCAAATGGTGTATTGCATCGGGCAAATCTGCTACAAAAGACCTCTTTAAAGTGATAAAAAGCAAAGAAGTCACTTTGAGGACTAAGGTGTGTCTGGCCCAAGCCATGGTGTTTTCAGTCGCCTCATGCATGTGAAAGCTGAACAATGAATAAGGAAGACTGAAGAAGAATTGACACCTTGAATTATGGTATTGGTGAAGGATACTGAATATGCTATGGACTGCCAGAAGAATGAACAAATCTGTCTTGGAGGAAGTACAGACAGAATGCTCCTTAGAAGTGAGGATGGCGAGACTTCGTCTCATGTACAGGTTATCAGGAGGGATCAGTCCCTGGAGGAAGACATCATGCTTGGTAAAGTAGAAGGTCAGTGAAAAAGAGGAAGATCCTCAGTGAGATGGATTGACACAGTGGCTGCAACAGTGGGCTCAAACATAGCAACAATCCTGAGGATGGTGCAGGACTGGGCAGTGTTTTGTTCTGTTGTACATAGGGTTGCTATGAGTCATAACATACTCGATGGCACCTAACAACAACAGCAATATTCTATTTTTTTTAAAACTTTGGAGATAAAGAGGTTTTTGTTTTATTCATAGTTATTAAAGATTACAAATATGTATATGGTAATTTATACCTTACCACAGTACCTGTTGTTGTTAGGTGCCAATGAGTTGGTTCTGACTCATAGCAACCCTATGTACAACAGAAAGAAACACTGCACAGACCTGTGCCATCCTCACAATCATTGCTATGTTTGAGCCCACTGTTGCAGCCACTGTATCAATCCATCTTTTTCATTGACCCTCTACTTTACTAAGCATGATGTCCTTCTCCAAGGACTGGTCCCTCTGATAACATGTCCAGAGTATGTGAGTCGAAGCCTCACTATCCTTGCTTCCAAGGAGCATTCTGGCTGTATTTCTTCCAAGACATACTTGATCTTTCTTCTGGCAGTCCATGGTATATTCAGTATTCTTTGCCAATACCGTAATTCAAAGGCATCAATTTTTCTTCAGTCTTCCATATTCATTGTCCAGCTTTTGCATGCATATGGGGAAATTGAAAATCATGGCTTGGGTCAGGAGTACCATAGTCGTCAAAGTGTCATTTTTGCTTTTTATCAATTTAAAAGAGGTCCTTTTGCAGTAGATTTGCCCAATGCAGTATGTCATTTGACTTCCTGATGGCTGCTTCCATTGGTGTTGATTGTGGATTCAAGTAAAATGAAATCCTTATACAACGTTAATCTTCTCTCCATTTGTTTTGATGTTGCTTATTGGTCCAGTAGTGAGGATTTTTGTTTTCTTTATGTTGAGGTGTAATCCATACTGAAGGCTGTAGTCTTTGATCTTCATCAGTAAGTGCTCCATCGAGCAAGATTGTGTCATCTGCATATTGCATGTTGTTAATGAGCCTTCCACCAATCCTCATGCCACATTCCTCTTCATAGAGTCCAGCTTCTCGTATTATTTACTCAGCATACAGTTTGAATAAGTATGGTGAAAACCGTAGTACCTACCACAATTAAAATGTTTTAAAGAAATAAAATATGGTGGTTTACAAACTAAAAGACAGTAAGTTAAGTAATATTTATTAGAAAGACAATCCCTGGATAATATATTTTTAAAAAGCCAGAAGGTGTTTTGGTTTGTATTTGTATTTATTTACTTATTTATTTTTTGTACTGTTACTTAGGGAGCTAGAATTTGAAGTTTTGTAATAAGCTAGAGCAGTGCAATAAAATTTGGTAGAGTTAGTTACTGGATCCTAGTAAATTTGGATTAACAAAGCCAAAATTCTTGATAAGGTTTCCTTTTTCTTTATCTCAAGATGATATAGCTCTAACTCCTTATATTGTAGGGAATCTGGGGACACATTTATATGTCCAGGGAGAAAGAATGAGAAGGAAACAGCTGGTAGGGACTGGTTCCATTTTCTTGTTATTGTTTACTTATATTTTTCCTATGGACCACGTGAATACCTTTAATAGTCTAAATCCCACTCTTTTAATTTTAAATTGAATTTTTTTATTTTAGTTAGTGATAGGTTCACATGCAGTTGTAAAAAAGAATACAGAGAAATTCCATATACCCTTTACCCAGTTTCTCCCAATGTTTTAACCTTGGTAAATCTAATTTTCTCATATGTAAAATGAGAATAATAACTATTTCATAAATTACTTTTAAAGAGTAAATAATATATGTAAAGTTCTTAGCATAGTGCTTGTCACATAGACTTTCAATAAATGGCAGCCTAAAAGAAAGATAAGGGTTACTATACAATATTATTATAGTCTGTGACTTCTAGGTTAGTATGGGAAGAGATTGCCTTAACATTCTATGTTTAGGCAGGGGAGGGAAAATTCAATATCTGTTTTTTTTTTTTCACTACTAAACAAGAATGTTTACTTCTTCAGAATGGGTATATGTAATTCTTTTTTTAAAAAATTTAATTAATAGTAAGTGACTGCTTTACTATTACATATTTTGATCATAAAATACTGGGTAATTTGGATAAATGAATTATCTTTTTGCATATCAATACCTATTTGTTAAGATGTCAATGATTTGCGTATTTTAAATTATATCTATTTTTTTTTTTTCCCTAGGTCACTGGAGTCCTGGATGATTGCTTGTGTGATATTGACAGCATCGATAACTTCAACACCTACAAAATCTTCCCCAAAATGAAAAAATTGCAAGAGCGAGACTATTTCCGTTATTACAAGGTAAGGTTATAATTTTTTGTTGTTGTGGTGGGGGTGGCTTTGACTGAATTTTGTTTATTTCTGTATTTATTTTGTTGTTGTTGAGAATATACACAGCAAAACATACAATTCAGTAGTTTCTACATGTAACATTTAGTGACATTGATTACATTCTTCAAGTTGTGCAACCGTCCTCACCCTCCTTTCTGAGTTGTTCCTCCCCATAAACATAAATTTATTGCCTTCTAAGATTCTTATCTAATCTTTCAAGTTGCTGTTGTCAGTTTACCCATATAAATAGTTCTTAAAAGAGCATAATGCTCAAGGCAGACTTTTTTTTACTAGTTAAGCTAAACTATTGTTTGGTTTTAAAAAGATTTCAGGAAATATATATGGTTTAAAGCTTAAAGATTATCTCAGGGCAATAGTTTCAGAGGTTCGTTCAACCTCCATGGCTCCAGAAAGTCTGTAGTCCATAAGAATTTGAAATTCTGCTGTGGCTTTCCCCCCTTTGGAATCTTTGATCAAAAAGTTCAATAATGGTAGCAGGGAACCATCCAGTTCTTACAGTCTCATGGCAAAGGAGGTAGTTGTTCATGGAGGCAATTACCAAAACATTCCATATTCCTCCTTCTATTCCTGGTGCTCCTTCTTCCTCTGTTGCTTAAAGCAAATAGAGACCAATTGTTGTGCTTTAGATGGCTACTTGCAAGCTTTTAAGACCCCAGGCACTACATGTCAAACTAGGAGGTAGCACAGAAGCACTAAACGTGTTATTAGACCAACTAACTGACATGTCCCTGAAACCATGACCCTGAACCTCCAAACCAAAAAACCAAATCCCATGAGGTTTTTGGTTTTACGTAAGCAGCCTCAGCAGCTTTTTTTTTTTTTTTGGTCATTGTAAATATATCTGTCATACAACTTTTGCCAACTCAACTTTTTACAGGCGTACAGCTTATTGACAGCAGTTAAAATCATTGGCTGTGCAACCCTACCCTTAATCAATGTGATATTTCCATCACTGTTAAAAGGTTGTAATTTTTGATTCAGTTGGTACCAAAGATGTCTACATAGCTGTCTATAGATGTGACTTTTATGACCATTTTGAAAGCCCATTTTGACTCTTCTCACAATATGTATATCTTTTATTGTTTGAATGTATTAAATCTTGTAGTGAAAACCTCTCAGTCTTTTTGTACACGAAGAATCTGAACCCCCTTCCTATGTTTGGGGAATTCCTCACTTACAGTCAAGGTGTTAGCTGGAGCTGCAGTTATTTGAAGGCTTGACTAGGGCTAGAGGATCAGTTTTCAAGATGGCTTACTCACATGGCTGATGGTAGGAGGCATCAGTTCCTCGCTGTCTGGACCTCTCCACAGAGCTGCTCGAGTGTCCTCACAACAGGGCAGCTGGCTTCCTCCAGAGTGAGTGATCAAAGAGATAGAGAACAAAGTGAAGCCACAATGACTTTTATGTCCTAATCTGGAAGTCACATATTGTCATTCCACCACATTCTACTAAATGGAAGTGAGTCACTAAGTTCAGTTCACATGTAGGAGAGGGGAATTAGGCTCCGCCTTTTGAGGGAGGAGTACCAAAGAACTGTGAACATATTTTAAAACCACCATGCACTGCTTGGACCTTCTTTGCCATATAAGTTTTGGGAGCTATTTTCAAGGATTCTAGTGGGCCTCTCTTCCCGGGACACTTAGAAGAGGGAGGTTAGTGAGGCAAGCTACAGACCCTATTGTTTTATCTGATCTTAGGGTCACAGTGAATACTCATCATTTCCCTCCTCTGCTATCCATTGTAGATTGACCTTACTCTCAGCTAGCATCTTTGCTGGTTTTGGTGGCTTACCTGGTGGCAAAATCCAGACCCTTGAGGTCTCTGGGGGGTGCGAGCCTCTGGTCAGTATGCCTTTTTCAGGCCAGGGTGGGTTACACTTGTCCGTTGATCTTAAAAAAATGGTCAAATGTACAGCTAGATGGTGCCCAGCTACCACCACTGACTGCTCTGACCGGGATCACAACAGAGGGTTCTGGACAGAGTTGGAGAAGGATGTAGAACAAAATTCTAACACACACAAAAAAGACCAGATTTACTGGCCTGAACAAGACTGGAGAAACCCCAAGAGTATGGCCCACAGACACCGTTTTAGCTCAGTGGTGAAGTCACTTCTGAGGTTCACCGTTCAGCCAGGGGTTGGACAGCCCCATAAAACCAAATGGGGCTAATGAGGCACAGCAGTCCAGGGACACGGACTAGAAGGCAGAAGGGGACAGGAAAGCTGGTGCTAGGGAACCCAGGGCTGAGTAAGGACAGTGTTGACATGTAGTGGGGTTGTTAACCATTGTCACAGGGCAACATGTGTACTAACTGTTTAATGAGAAACTGTTTTGTTCTGTAAACCTTCATCTAAAGTGAGAATAGCAGCACAACTGGAAGAACATAATCGATGTCACTGAACTGTGTACGTAGAAATTTTTAAAATGGTGTGTCTTTGGCTATGTGTATTTTCACCAAAAAAAAAAAAAGGTCGAGAAGGGAGAGGGTTGACATATTGTGGGGTTGTTAACCAATGTCATAAAACTGTATGTACTGACTGTTTCATGAGAAACTATTTATTCTGTAAACCTTCACCTGAAGTACAATAAGGGAAAAAAAATTAAAAAAAATAAGTTGTACACCTGTAAAATGTTGAATTGGCAAAAGGGTGATAGATATATTTACAATGACAAAAAAGAAAAGGAAAAAGAAAAGAGTAGCTGCTGAGGCTGCTTATATACAATCAAACACCGCATGGGATTTGGTTCCTTGGTTTGGAGGTTTATAATCATGGTTTCATGGGACATTCCAGTTATTTGGCCTAATAATGTGTTTAGTGTTTCTGTTCTACCTCCTAGTTTATTGCGTAGTGCCTGGTGTGTTAAAAACTTGCAAGCAACCATCCAAGGCACAACATTTGGTCTTATTTACCTGGAATAATAGAGGAAGAAGGAGAGTCAGGAATAGGAGGAAGATATGAAATGTGTGGCTAATTGCCTTTATGACTAGCTACCTCCTTTGCTGTGAGACCAGAAGAACTTCATGGTGCCTGGGTACCGTTAGTGAACATTTTGATCAAAGGAGAATCCTGATCAAATGGGAAAATACAGAATTGAATTTCCAATTCTCATGGACTCTAGACTGTCTGGAGCCATAGAGGTTGGATAAATCCCTGAAACTATTTCCCTGAGATAATTTTTTAAACCTTAAACCAAAAATATCCCCTGAAGTCACCTTAAAACTGAACAGTAGTTTAGCTTAATTAGTAAAAAAAAAAAAAAAAGGTCTGCTTTGAGCATTATGCTCTTTTAAGAACTATCTATATGGGATCAAACTGACAACAGCAACTAGAAGGATTAGGTAGGAACCTTGGTGGGTAGTGAGTTCATGTCAAGGAGGGAGAAACAATTCAGAAAAGGAAGGTGTGAATGGTTGCACAACTCGAAGAATGTAATCAGTGTCACTAAATTGTACATGTAGAAACTGTTGAATTGGTGTATATTCTCAACAACAACAACAAAATAAATAAGATTTATAAAAACATAAAAAAAAAATGGTCAAGTGGATTACCTCAGTGCCTAACAGTTTCCTCCCCGCCCCCATTGTGTAACAGCAGCCCTACCTCTTTTTGTAGTTCAGGGTCAGATACCTCTGCCAAAATAATGATTTCTATTTTTGTTTGCTGGCCCTTGTCATAAGAAGTCCAAAAGTCCAGGTGGCAGCTATAGTTTATAGTTATAAATGAGACTTTTGTTGTATCTCCTGGTGGAAGGATTCCCCTTTTGGGAACCAAGACGTCTAAACCCACAGAACCTGGATTTGTGGTGATGGGACGCACAGATTACCCAAGTTGGTTACTCGAGGGATGGTGGATGGAGCCACTCCTGCTTCTATCCCGTGGTTCCTAGACCCATATATTCTTCCTCTTGGGGACATGGCACATAATCAGAGGTTGTTGATTAAAAGTGTCAGTTGCATCCTGGAAGATGGGGTCTATCCTCACAGTTGAGCTGTCTCATCAGCTGTGCCTTCAACAGGCTGTTGATTCATTCTTTTAGGCCCGTGGCTTCGTAGTGATGTGGCATGTGATAAATCCAGTAGATCTCATGGTCATGTGCCCACTTCCATGCCTCTTTTGTTATAAAGTAGATCCCTTGGTTTGATGCAGTGTTATGTGGGATCCAATGCTGCTGGATAAAATACTCTTTTTAATTCCTTGGATAATGGTGTTTGTTGAGGTCCTGTGGGTGAGAAAGGCAAACTCATACTCAGAATATGTGTCTGTTCCCATCAAAATGAATCACTGTGCCTTCCAAGAGGAAGACATCTAGTATAGTTAACTTGTCACCGAGTGGCTGATTAATCTCCTAAAGGGCTGGTACCATTTTGGGAACACATCATTTGTCTTGGTTGTTAGTAGGTTGAACATTTCTGCAACAGCAGTAGCTAGGTTAGCCTTGGTGAATGGGAGCCTTTGCTGTTGGTCCCACGCATAACCTTCATCCCTGCTACTGTGGCTACTCCTTTCATGCACCAGTTTTGCCAGCACTGGAATTGTTGGTGACACAGCCTGACTAAGGTCAACTGGCCAGGTAATTTTGTCTTCCTGATTGTTCACTGCCTCTTCCATGGTGGTTGTTAACATGTGATATAAATATCTTCACGTTTTATGTCCACTCCCATATGCGGGCTAGAAATCACTCTCGTTTTGGAACTTACATTCTAGTGGGGGAGGAACAGACATAGACAATCAACAAAATAAATAAGTAAAACGTATAGTATATTAGATGGTGCTACGTGCTAACAAGAAAAATTGAGAAGAATAATAGGGAGTGTTGGGGGGGATCCAGTTTTGGATAACATAAACAGGGAAGTACTGAGAAGGTGGCATTTGAGAAAGGCCTTAAGAGGGTAAGAAAGGAAGCCATGTGGATATCTGAGGAAAGAATATTCTTGGCTAAGGCAAAGGCACTGAGACAGCACTATGTCTCATGTATTTGAGGAACAACAAGGAGGCCTTTGAATAAGGGGAGGAGACTAGGGGGATCAGACCATGTAAAGCGTTATGGGCCATTATAAGAACTTTGATCTTTAATCCAAGTGAGATAGGTTGGAGGGTTTTAAAAGGATCATTCTGGTGGTTATATTGAAAACAAACTGTATGGGTGTAAGGGCTGGGCAGGAAGACCATTAAAAGGCAACTGCAATAATCCAGGAGAGAAAAGATGGTGGCTTGGACCACAGTGGTAACAGTGGAGGTGCTGAGGAGTATTGAATTCTGAAGATAGAACTGGCTGGATTTTCAGAGGTATTATGTGGGAATAAGAAAGAGAGGAGTCAAGGATTAATGCCAAGATTTTGGCCTGAGGAACTATAATAATGGAGTTGCTATTTACTGAGATGGCAGTGATTTCTAGGGGGAGGAGCAGTTTTGAATATGTTACTTTTGAGGTGTTTGTGAATGTCCCATGGAGATGTCAAGGAGGCAGTTGGATATACAAGTCAGGTGTTCAAGGGAGATGCCCAGCCTGAGAACTTGCAGTTCCCCAAATGTGCCGTGCTCTTCGAAGCTTTTTTGTTTTTAGACATCCTGACGCCTTTGTCTAGAAATCTCTTTCTCTAGGAACCTTCTAGTCATACCCATTTTACATGTTTCCTGAAGGAGGCCTTCCCTGATCTCTCTATAGCCAGAGTTAACCACCATTTCCTCTGTGTTGTCAGTCTCTCTACTTATCTTTGCCAGTCTCTGTCCCAGTTTTACCTGCTCCTCTGTAATTAGGTATTGTTTACTTCATTTAACACAGGTATTTATTGAGGTGCATATTATGTATCCTGGATGCTGTTCTAGGTACTGGGAATAAAATTACGTGTAAGGGAAAATCATGATCCTTACAGTGGGGGATGTGGACAGTAAATAAGTAAACAAATAATATAATGTCAGGTAATGATAACTGCTATAAAATAGTATAAAACAATATGTGTAGGTGTATATTGAGCACTACTTTAGAGAGTATGGCCAGGGAAGAGCTCTCTGTTGAGGTGATATTTAAGCAGAGATCTGAGGGTTGTGAAGGAGTGAGCCATCAGAAGATTTGGAGGAACAACAGCACAAGCAAAGAGAACAGCCGTTGTAAAGATCCTGGCACAGAAAGGAGCTTGATGTGTTCTCAGCAAAAAGAGCCAGTATGGCTGAAGGAGAGTGGTAGGAGAGGAGATCAGAAAGGTGGGCAAAAGGCCAGATTATGAAGAGCCTTGGGGAGCTGGCTAAGAAGTTTGGACTACTCTAAGAGTGGTGGGAAGCCACAGGAATATTTTGAGCAGGGATTGATGCGATCTCATATATGTTTGAAAGAAATAACTCTGGCTACGTGGAGGATAGATGACAGTAGAAGCAGGGGGACTATTGCAATAGTCTAGGCAAGAGATAAGTGATAGTGGAGGTGGTGAGAAGAAGTAGATAATGAATTGTTTGAAGGGGATGAAGAAAAGGGAGAAAAGAATAAACCCTAGATTTCTGGCTTGGGCAATCCATCTGCAAGTTCTATTGAATTACCTATTGCCACCATTATGTTTAGAATATGCACATCTGGAGTTTTTACAACATGGTTTAAATGTCCTGCATGATCCATCCCTTGCCTACCTTTACCCTCATTCCCTTCCACCCTCCCTCTTGCCCACTAAACATCAGCTAAGTTGGTGTTTTTCAGTTCACGGAACTGTCCAATCTCTCAATATCATCTTATCTGGGCAAACGACTTCATCCATCCTTTTTCAACCTAAATATTACCTCCTCAGAGGTTTCCAGCCCACCATCCCGTTATTTTCTGTCACAAACCATGGATTTTCCTTTGTAGCACTTGCTACAACTTTTAATAAATAAACACACAAATATAAAATTTCTGATTCTTTCAGTAGACTTAAGTTCCAGGGATGGGAAATAGTTTTTTTGCCTCTTTTTCCTCTAGAGTCTAGCACAGTGCCTGACATATAGTAGATGCTTAGTACATATTAAATGAGTGGATGCTTGAGAGAACCCTGATAAGTGAGGTGACATTAAGAAACTGATAACACATTAACAGTTTCCGAGGCCAACTCTTCAGACAGGGATTGGACCGGACTGTGGGACATAAAGTGATACTCGTAAAGAGTGTGCCTCTTGGTCAAGTAGATACAAGAGACCAGAGGGGCAGCTTCTGTCCAGGGGTGAGAGGGGAAGGCAGAGAGGGCTAGGAGCTGGTTGAATGGTCATGGGGAATCAGGGGCGGAAAGGAGGAGTGTGCTGTCACAGAATGGGGTGAGCAATTAGAGTCATATAACAATGTATGT